TTTCTGTGGTGACGGAAAGATGGAATTCGAATATTTGCTATAATTACGGACTTCGGGGATCACGTTTCTCAGGTTATACTTTGTGTTCAGTGTCTTTATTAACATCGACTGCAATAAGCGTGGACAGACTTTTCGCCTTGTTGCTGGGGCTCAGATACAGACAAGTTGTAACTTTGAAAAGAACATGTATAGCTGCAATCGGTTTTTGGATTTTGTCCATTGTCGCTTCTTCAGCTTCATTTTGGAACCCTCTTATAACTTCATGGTATCAATACATAGGTACAGCTCTGTGTCTGGTCACCACAATCTTCGCTTACACAAAAATTTTCTTTTCTCTGCGTCATAATCAAATTCATGTTCAGAACCATGTTGCTCAAGGACAACCGAGCCAAGCAATCACACTGAACATAGCTCGATACAGAAAGGCGGTGTACAGTGCACTGTGGGTGCAGGGAACATTGGTTGCATGTTATTTGCCGTTTGGTATAGTGGTAGCTTTGACACCTCAACAAGGGATGACTTTATCGGTATACCTCGTTAGACAACTTACGGTTACCTTAGTGTATTTAAACTCTTCATTAAACCCGTTGCTGTACTGTTTGAAGATCAGAGAAGTAAGGCGAACTGTAAAAGAAACAGTAAGGCAAATATTCTGTCGATCGAGTTAGTTTATTTATTATGCTTTTTAAGATTCATGCCAAAAACACTCTAAGGATCTGAAAACGAACCATACTCACGTAATACATTGTGTCTATTGCACCTCAAAAGGATCATTCTTTGGCGGAAAGAGCGGCATATATTATATATCCATGCGAACAATAGTGAAATGAACTTTTGATTGTAACTTATTGGACTTCTGTTATTAAAAAAATATGGGATATTTGCTATCGCGCTTATCATGTTGGCATAAAACGTTCTAGGTTATACTTTATGTTCAGTGTCTTTATTAACATTGACTGCAATAAGCGTGGACAGACTTGTTGCCTTGTTGCTGGGGCTAAGATACAGACAAGTTGTAACTTTGAGAGGAACGTAACTAATGGTGTACCTTTAGCAAAGATATACCTTGTTGATGGCTTCTCTTGCCTTTCATGTGCCTTCTCTTTATTAATGCATAAGTGCCTTCCGTGTACCTTCCTTCATACTTATAAGTGTCTAGTCTGATCTTTTCATATGATAATAAATTGTCTAGTCCTTGCTGGATACTAACAGGTTTAGTTTCATAAGGTTTTTTACCGCCCAGTTTTCAATGCTATTAACCTCTCTGGAAGAGTAATCTTGATCTGCTGACACGGGCACACTAGGCTAAGATCATCAGCACATTTCACCAGTAGATTGCGCTCTGGGTAGACCGATGTAATGTCGTTTACCATAACAGAGAACAATACAATCAAGCGCTCCCCGGACTTTCAGTTCGTATAAGAGAGTTGTACGTTAAACTGAAAGGTTGTTGATTAACAAAAGAAAAGGTGCGAATATATCTTGAAATAACATCTAATGGATATCAGTTGAGTTATATTGTTACCAAATGTGTTATAATTAAGCCTGAATTTAACAAGGGCAATCCTTTGTACCCTAAAGCGATTATGAATAATGAATAACCAACAAGAACTTAATAAAAACAATAAATTATTGGAAGAAACACACAAAGGATAATGAATAAACGAGGTCAAATT